CCAGCCCCCGCACCTGCCCTCAGAGCCACATGGCTGGAAGGAATTACAAAGTCTCCCTTTCTGTTTCTTGATTTTTAAGTTTCAACTATTAGTTTGACCTACTAGGAGTGCTGTGACAAATGAATATGTAGACGTGTCGGGCACTTACATCAGCGCCTGCGATGCACCTGCACTGTGGGATTGCTACCTGGAGTGACTGTGATTGTGGCTCTTAATCCCTCAGCTCCTTCTTCTCACCTGGAATACCTGTTCATACCTGCCCGCCAGTTCCTCAGCCTCCTCCCAGCCTGAGTTCCTGCAACAGCTTACGTGCTGATTTTAGGTGGTGGGAATGGAATGTGTGGGTTCCGATCGGGGTTCTCTGCTCACACTGTCTTCTTCTAGTATGAATTCATCTGACAGGTGTCAGTGTGTTGCCTGTGACATCAGGTGAATGGAGTAGGCGCTCCCACTTTGCCGGGGTTTCCTGTAAAATCTTTAGTATATAAAGACATGATTAACAGGTACTATCCATGCTTCCCATGTGTTGGCTGTGCTTTTATTAGAAGCCATGCTTGCCTTTTATCAGGAACTTTCCACTCTGGTAGTATGATTGTTCTGCTTATTTCTCTCAGCTTCTAGAGTGCTGGTGCTCAGAGGTCAGGGACAGGAAACGTGTTCAGCGTTATGTCACTGCACCTGAGCTGATGCATCCCTCAGTCAGCAGAAGAGCCCAGAAGTAACCTGCTTTGAGAGTGTGAGGCATTTGCACATGAGACATGGCACACTGCAGAGAGCGAATGCAGAGGACAGAGGGAGAGGGAAGGAGGAGAGGGGAAGGACGGTTTCCTTTCTCTGAAGGGGACAACATGCCAGAGACTCCCCAGCCCCGCTGTGGGATCGACCACATTGCCCTGGGGTTTATTTTAAAACAAGGTTGTGTCAGTAAATATATTTTTAAAAAGTGTTCTCCAAGAACAACACACTGGCCTGATTTGTGGTGTTTGTTGATTACCGTGGTGTAAATCTTCACACCAAGGCCACTTGCAAGCTACCGGGGTGATGTTGGACAGTTCCCCAGACTCCTGGAAATTTATCTGTCCACTTTTAGTGTGCCACTGTATAAACAAGGCCTTCCTTCAGCTTTCTTCTCTATCAAAGCTTTTTTGTTGTTGTTACTCAGTTTGAGGGCTATTCCTGGCAGTGTTCAAGGCTTACTCCTGGCTCTGCACACAGGGATCACTCCTGGCAGTGTTCAGGGGACCGTGTGGGTTGCTAGGGCCTGAACTCAGGTTGGCCATGTGGAAAGCAAGCATACTAGCCGCTGTATTATCACTCTCTAGCAATCTGAATCCTACAAAGCAAATTTCCTTCCTCAAGCAGCACTGTCGGAAGAGGAGAGCATCCTGGGAAAGAGTCAGAGATAAATTAGTGGGTTAAGATTTTGGTTTTGTGTTTTGGATCACAACTGGCTCTGTGCTCAGGGATCACTTCTTGCAGGGTTGGGACGACCATATGTGGTGCCGGGTGTTGAACCTGGGTTGGTGGCCAGCAGCGCCTTAGCTTACCCACTGTCCTACCTCTGCAGTCCCTGCTGGCGGGAGTTCTAACAAGGCTGCTTGTGTGTTCACTGTCCTTTGGAAACTCTGTCTTGGTGATGCTGATCTCTGGGATCTGGACCGGGAGCTTCACTCTAAAACCATCCTGTCTAGGGTTCTTGGAATCACAGGTGAAGTTTCCTCTTCCCACTCTCCTGACACTCCTTGCAGCAGACGGACTCAATTAGCCTCTCATTCCAGAGTTCCCTGGTGAGTGGGTCCCATGGTTACTAGGCAAAATGGGCCTGGTGGCATTAGTATCATCTTGAAGGCCGGCATCCTCATGACACTCTTCAGTCACAGTCAGCTCCAGAGATGGTGGAAAATGAGGGGAGGGATGGAGAGAGGGAAGAGTAGGAGAGAGGGAGAGAGGGAGAGGAAGGCCATCCCTCCATCTGGGGACCCAGCCCTGCCCCGTCCAAGAGCTGCTCAGGCCGGGTGTGTGCAGAGCTGGAACACCAGCTGCCGGAATCCCAGTTGGCCTTGGGAACGTTCAAAGCCCAGTCCTGCTACCTCGTTAACTTTCATGACCAAGTAAATGCTGCTGAAATTAACACTCAATCCAAGCTGGAAGCGCCGGGAGCCAGTTGAGTGAGCCTGAACCACCTGTAGGGGATTTTCTCCAAATAATAAATCTTCAAACCAGGCTTCAGAACATCGCCAGGTTGTCTGTCCTTCTGTATATTCAGTTAAAATCAGAAAGAATCACCCACAGGGCAGAGGCTGTAGGAGAGAGGCCCAAGCATACACGTGGGCACACTCACAGCCTCAGTGGAGACTGTTGGCTCGGACACTTTGTTTTAGCAAGGGCCTTACCTTACTCTCTGCGGAGTATGAGGGGCTGGACAGGGAATCTCCTGCAAAGCTCAGACACATTTCCCCTGAGCATTTCCCCTGAGTATTTCCAGGGAAGACCCTGGAGACTCCAAGCAGCACCAGAAGAGGCACTGCAGGGCCCGTTCAGTGTCGTGGCTCTGGCCCTGCACTGCATCAACAGACGAGTTGGCTGGGAACCGCTAGTGGGGCCCCCAGAACCTCCTGAGAATCACTTGGGAGGCCCCTCCCCCCAAAAGGCCTTTCACAAGCCTTCCCCAGCCCCACACAGCCTACCTCACTCTAACCACAACACAGACTTGTTTGTCAGCTGAAGTATGCTAAGTACCAGCAGTGTCTTGGGTGGAAATAAGTAGAAACAAGCACTGAGAACGTCAGCTGCCAACTCAGAGTCCTCAAGACAAGAGAGCAGAGGAGACAACCATGCCATTGTCTCCTATAATTGCCAGATAATTTAAATTCCTGTGAAGTCCATTGTGTTCTTCACAGAGAAGCAGAGCATTTGTCTGCTCAGATGACCTCAGAGGTGCCCCAGCTCTCATCCAGGCCTTCTCCAACAATACTCTCTTCAGATTGAAAAACAGCTCATAGGCCACAAAAAGCCCCGGTCTTCCCCAGAGTGGTGGGTCTGTGGCTGCTCCACTTCCGGTCTCTGCAACCTTCCTGCCACCCAAGGGCTTCTGGTGGGCTGTGCCACAGACAGAGGGTTCCTGGAACAGACGACATATTCTACCCTCTACTGTGTGGACCCTCCAGGCCTCACTTCCAACTACAGCCCCAAGGTACTGGACCAACAGTGATGGCACACGTAGGGAGTGGCACTTGTCCCTCAGGCCTTTCTCTTCAGTTCTGGAAAAGCTTCTCCTCCCTGTCACTTGACTGGCCCAAATCCCTGTCCCCTCTGGACTGGGGGATGGAGATGACTCCCAGACAGATACACATATCTTCAAAGCCAGTAGGAATTAGGGGTGCAGATGGGCCATAGGATCCTATTTTATGTCAAGAATACATTTCTGTGTGACGTAAATATTTTCTCATTGTGGATTTTTGGTGAGTGTGTAAGAAATGTACTTCCTAAGGATACAAATAAACCTTGTTAGAGTATGAAATGGAAACTTCAAAGAATCTATATCTCTAGTTAATAGGGTCTGTAGACATCTTCTCTCCAACCAAGCATAGGTGGGTGAGGACTGGGGGGGAGAAGAGGGGGCTGGTGGTTGGGGGTTGTCTAAGAAAAGAGGCTCACACTTCAAGAGTTTAAATTTAGTTTCAGTGTCATGTGCACATTTTCCTGCATGTACCTTGTGGATTCAAGTCTAATTCATTTTGAAATGACTCATTTGTTGCGTATGAAAATACATAATATGAGACTAATACTAAGGGCAGTAGAAACAAGAGTCAGGAGGATTGGTCCATCTTTAGAAGCCTGCCTCAATGCTGGGGGATAAGACAATTGCAATAGAGAAGATAACTGACAAAGATAGTTGTAAATGATCACTCTAGATAAGAACTGCGTGTTCAAAGTAGATATCACTGTATCATTGTCGTCCCATTGTTCATTGGTTTGCACAAGTGGGTGCAAGTAATGTCTCCATTCGTCCCAGCCCTGAGATTTTAGCAGCCTCTCCTTACTCGTCCTTCCCAATGCTGCCATATTGGAGGCTCTTTCAGGGTCAGGGGAATGAGGTTCATTATTGTTACTGTTTTTAGCATATTGAATATGCCACAGGTAGCTTGCCAGGCTCTGTCGTGCGGGCGGGATACTCTCGGTAGCTTTGCTGAGCTCTCCGAGAGGGACAGAAGCTGTAGGAAATTCTGCGTCACTCTCTTCCGGGAGCTTTGTCTCTGAATCTTGGCTGTTGATGAGATCACATGGTGCTGGGGGCAGTTTGTGAATGTGACCGCCAAGCCACTGGAAAATGGGGGATCTGGGTGGAGGAGGTCCAGTCCCTATCTGAGCAGGCTTAGAGATCTCAGCCATAGGTCCCACATACCTGGGTTGCTCTGCCGGTTCCTTCTGAAAATCACCAGGACCCAGCCACAGCAATGCTCAAGGCCACTCTCCACACGCTTGGATGAGCCTCATGCATGAAGGAACCGGCAAAGTAGGTAAAGGAAAAATATGATAACCTCTCCATATCTGTATGGCAAACCATAATTCCCAAAAGGAGAGAAATAGAGAGAAAGAAGGAAAGTACTTGAGATACAGGCTGGGGGGAGGGAGGTAGTGGGAGAGAAACTGGTAACATTGGTGGTGGGAAATGTACGGTGGTGGAGGGATGGGTGTTGAACATTGTATGACTGAAACCCCATCATGAACAGCTTTGTAACTGTGTACCTTATGGTGATTCCTTTCTTTTAAGTTTGAATTTTCTGAATGTTGGGTGTGTGGTAAAGGGTCTTTCAGCAAAGGAATGAATTACAGTGATAATGATGACTGTCCAGAGACTGAGGAACTTCTGAAGAGCCTCCCCCATATATATATATATATATATATATATATATATATATATGTGTGTGTGTGTGTATATAAAAATATATATTATATTTATATATATATATAAAATATATATTATATATTTTTTTCAGATCTCGCCTGGCAGATTTTTTTACCAACTGCCAGCCAGAGTCAAGGTCTGTGAGCAGCTGTCTGAAGGAGAACTATGCTGACTGCCTCCTCGCCTACTCCGGGCTCATCGGTAAGATGGGGGAGAAGCAGGGAAGAGGGATGGGAGGAAAGTCTGGCAGGAGGTCCCCGCATGCTCTTTCCACAGCCACGTGCCCTGGCCAAGGCGAGTTGAAACCCTCTAGTTGGTTTTGAGGTTAGACCCTGAGGACTCCCCTGGATGAAAGTGAGAGAGAAGCTAATGGATGTGCACGGGTGCAGACTGACAGAGGCATCATTAAAGAGCAGGGGCAACAAGTGCAAAGACCTCGGAAGCAGCTGCAGGGAGGACTGACCACAGGGAACAGACAGGGCAAAAGGCGCCGGGTTCTGCACGCACCACTGCAGCCAGCTAATTGTCTTAGGGAGCTTTGAAGAAAGGCAACAAGAAAAACACTCAGTCTGAGAAATAGCACAGAAATGGTGCTTTGGAAAGAAAACCCTAAACAGTGGAGTCCTGCTGGCCCTAGTGACTCAGCTGTTGGTGTGCAGAGGGTAGTGATTAAGATTACATCACCTCTGTCCCCCCGACCCAAAACACTCTGAGAACAGACATAGCAAAACCAGAACTTTCTCTATTTCAAGACCCAGACTTGATTAGCAGAAGACCCCAAATTTTGGGAACTTAGCATTCCCCTTTCAGAAAAAAAAAAATACTACTTGGAACTTTCCTGGAAATCAACTTTAGAGAGAACAGAAAGAAAGCACCTCCCAAAGACACCCTAGGGTTCTACTGTCACCCCCTGAATCATGCCAACGAATCATGCCAGGATCCCGTTATCCACTTGACAGTCTACTGCTTTAGAAGAACCAGTTTCTCACTCTGGAGAATAGTTTTGAAAGAACTCTGGGGAGCGAGACTGAGGCATATTTGTGTTTGGCTATGTAGGGCAGGAGGAAGAAAAGCAGATGCTCCGGGGACCAGGGGCCAGGAAAACCCTGTATCAGCACCCCACCACATGACAGTTGATACAGACTGACAGTGAAGGCTGGCTGGGCTTGGCAAGGGAAAGCAATGTGTGAGGAGTCCTGGGGTAGGTAGGTGCTGTGTTCCTGCCAGGATCAGAAGTGCTTCCTTCCAGAAGGACAGCATAGAGTCAGGTGTGGTCTGGAGTGCCTGCATGCACGGGCCAGTGAACAGCCAATGGTAGGGGCGGTCCAGGGCTCTCTGTGCCTCCTCACTCCCACCCCTGACCCAGGCAGTCCCCATGAGCATCGTCAGGGACATGGAAAGTGAAACTGGCTCTCATCACTCGGGCCTCCAGAGTTTCTTTTGCTCTATACTTTTCATGAAGCTCTGTCGCCTGTCATGGGGTTTTGCCAAACTGTGGAATGACAGGCTCAGGAAATGGAAAAACCACTGGCTGCCTGACCGATGTCAAAAGTTTGAGAGTACAGACAGGGGTGCCCGAAGGAGATGGCACAGTGTCAACTAGCCCTTTTCCAGATGGAAACCCTGTTCCCATGAGAGTTCATCTTCCATAAAGGCTCCCAAGGCCTCCCTGAGTGGCCGAGATACATGCTGTGCAATTCCTGTGAGCCCCGCCTGGGCATGACAGCCCTTCTGGTGTCTGAAGGGGACCAAATCTGATTTCTCCCCTGGGTTAATCCCTCTTCTGCTCTAACTTCTTTCAGAACCAAGCTTGTTCCTCCTTCTCCCATAAGCAGACTCCACTATGGTGTCAGGCATTGAGGGATGCTCAGGAGACATATGTTAGCTCTTCCTTAGTGGGGATGATGCCTGTTTCTTTTTCTCCCAAAGTTCCCAAAGCTCCCTCTCTGCTCTAAGTTGAGGTTCTCATCCCAGGAACAATGGGATATTGTTTCCTCCAAGTCAGTGAGGAATTTGGGGCAAAGACAGTAAGGCCCTTGACCCAGAAGAGTTTACATTCTGTGGTTGTGACCAAATCTGTCCCATTGGGTCGCTGATTGTCCTTTTTCTTAGTTCTGCAAAATAAAAATAATACAGAAGACTTCTTGGCATGAGTAGGTAGTGCCTGGTGTGAACCACCCAGGCAGAGACATTTGAGTTGCATTAAGTGTTAATGCATTGTTTATTCGTGCCAGTACAGAACTCAACAGGAAAAAAGCAGGAATACAGGAAGATGTAGGCCAAAGAGACCACCCAGCATTTCTTGGAGGACTCTTGAGACAATACTCTAGAAGCTGTTCTCTTAGAGAATTTCCAATGTTTGTTTCTAACTTGGAAGACTTTTGTTCAATCCGTGGAGAGTCTGATGCACAGAGCTCTCCTTAGCAATATTCAGGCTACAGGCTCACCCAGAAGGTGAGCCTCTGAGCTTCCCTGGGTAACTCTGAAGCAGCCATTTGCTTCAGAGAGAATTGAATTTGGAGTCCTCAAAGTATCTTTAAAGACATGTAAAGCCAGTTCTACCTATTAATGAAGATGAATGCCATCCCCAAGAAAATGCAAGGAACTTGGCAACTCATACATTCTCAGCTCATTCTCTTCAGCTCCCTGACATCACACCATTTGTGTAGGGGAAAAAAAGTCCCATTGCAGCTCAAAGAGTTTGACTATAATTTTAAAGTAAATATATAAATTATTTTATGTGCTCAATATAAATTGCCAAGAAAACACGCTACTTAACAGAATTTCCCACTCAGTAAATACAATGTTTGCAATTATCCACGGTGCCATCACTGTCAGTGGAACACATGTTTCTTTCTAGGCACTAGAAAAATCTAGATTCTCACTTAAGACTCAAACGCCTTGTTTTTATTTTTCAGGTACAGTCATGACACCCAACTACATAGACTCCAGCAGCCTCAGCGTGGCCCCGTGGTGTGACTGTAACAACAGTGGAAATGACCTGGAAGAGTGCATAAAGTTTTTGAATTTCTTCAAGGACAACACCTGTCTTAGTAAGTCTTAAAAAAAAAAAGAAATAAAGGGGCTGCAGCGATAGCACAGTGGGTACGGCATTTGCCTTGCACACGGCCAACCTGGGTTCGATTCCGAGCATCCCATATGATCCCCTAAGCACCACCAGGAGTAATTCCTGAGTTCAGAACCAGGATTAACCCCTGTGAATTGTCGGGTGTGACCAAAAAAGCAAGTAAATAAATAAATAATTTCACTTTGCTCTCAGTCTGCTTCCTCCATCTCCCTGACCCTTTTACCCTGATCATTGATGGACAACCCAGTTCTTTAGGCCAAACCACCTAAAGCAGCAAGAATGGAGCAACTAATGCTCTCAGGTTTCCAAGGCAATGAATCCTAAGGGCTGAGAGAGCAAGAGATCCAAAAGACCATCGGTACATTGAATACTTCTACATTTTGATCTTGACAACCAGAGCAAAGTCTCTTCCAAAGATTCCTCTAACCTGTGTAGAATACACAATATGAGGAAGCTTAGAAAGATTAGATGGGGGGAAGGTCTCCAAGGACTCTTGGGGAAAAATTAGCATGCTAGCATTGATAGTCCTCTGGATGCTTAGGGTTGGCTTCGAGAAGCTGGAGCAATTCGAGATAAGCTGGCAGTGTGGCCAGGAAGAGTGGGAGGTCAGGATGTGGGTTCCCTCAGGAGACTAGATGAGCCACAGGGGCTGGAAACAGTCTCGATGATCACCGCTGTGTCCTTTAGGATATTTGAAAGCAGAGCTTCCAAAGGAAGAGCCAGAGAAAGAGGAATGGACGTGTGCGAGCTGTCAACTCCAGAAGCACTGTGCCAGGGCTCCTTTGCCCGCTGATGTGTGCCCACTCCAGGCAGTGCTCCAGCTGAGATGCTGGAGTAGCTCACTCAACCTTTGGTGGCAGCCACCATTAATCTATTGAGTGCTCACGCTAGAAGGAGTGCAGTGACCTAGATGTTCTCATTCACTGCCATTTGCCCAGGAAACCTCCAATTTGTACAGGGAGCCTCAGATGAAGCTATTTCAGCTCCATTTCCAGTTAAGTAAATGGCTGGTATTCATAGAAGCCAGGAAGCCAGGGCCAGCCTCCAAAGCCCAAGTTCCTTCTACAGTCCCTCTGGCCCCCTGACCCACACCAGGGCTTTTGTTTGTTTCGTGCTTGACACGGAAGGGCCCAATAGACAAGAACATGAGAATGAACACCAGGGACCAGGGATGCTTCCTAATGTGTGCTGGGGAACAGGCTCTGAAAATGAGAGTGTAGCTACCCCTCTGAGATATGTCTCCTTCAGAGACAACTGTTTCTGATGTTCTGCTGAATGGTGATTAATTTCTAGAGAATTAGCAAACAATTTGCCATGTGCCTGTGGAAAAGCTTTTGTATTCCATCTAAGACCTCCTCATTATTTCCTTTGTTGAAAAGAAAAATCTAAGTCATTTTCTCAGTAGGTACCAGATAGAGTAATGTCACTATACGAAATACTTTGATCATCTTAAAACAAAAACAAATTTCAGGACACCTCAGCAAAAGTCAGACCTACAAAACTATCCTCAAGTGTGGAGATATTCATTGGGTTAGTGTGCCTTAAGAAGCCTGTAGCAATGCACACTTGGTTTATTTTAGACTTTAAACAGTGTATGTATATGTACATATATGTGCATATAGGTGTGTATATATACATATAATACATATGTATATATACATACATATATATATATACGCTTTTGGCAGAATGCAAGTTTTAAAAAGAAAAAGCAATTATAAAAGAGGTCAGTATCAGAAAAAAAATTATAGTCAGTCTAGCGGGAGAAACACCCTCTCTCAACAAAATTAAAGTTGTCCCAGCTTAATAATATTTTGGCATAGGGGAGAGTAGTTTGATGTCCTATTGCTAATGACTTTTCAATAAAAATAAATGCATTTGGTCTTCAACCAGGACCAAAGCCAGCCAGAATTGTTCATTGCCATTTAGAGTTGGATCTGAAGGGACACCGCATACCAAAGCTGCAAGGCTGAAAATTCAATTGCTTGCACAAAACCAAGAGTAGAAGACATGGGTGTGGATACCACCCACTCTTGGTCCCTCCAGATTGACCAGCCCTCTCCTAGATGCCTATCCTACACACCATGAACATCTCCAGCTTCCTTCTGGTTCCTGGAAAGGAAACAGTTATTTAAGTCAAAGAGTATTGCAGATGTGATGGCACACATCACAGAGAGATGGCAGAGAGACTGGGCTGGCGGGGGAAGGGAGATACCACTTAGTCTCATTCCCATATTTGTTCAGATCCCACCTTAGCCTTTCTGGAGCACGAGATATCAACAGCCCAGCCCAGTTCCATCCACCACCAGCTTTATTTCCAAGTATTAACCTCTCTGGGCAGGAACTTGTCTTCTATTTTGTCATATTTAGCTGCTGGGACCCAGCACAGGGCAATATTCTCTTATGCTCTCTCTCCCTCTCTCATCTTAATAGAATAGTTGGAAGGAGCAAGCTGACCCCAAGAGGGAAGGCAGATGTGCTGGAAAACACGGGGAATTGTAGGAGATGGTGGGGGGCCTTGAATCTACATGGCTTGTTAGACAGGCTCTGGTTGTAGTGGCTCTGGGTCATTTAAGGAAACTGGCTCCTGTTCTACTTCTCTGCTTCACCCTCCCAGTTAAGCCATATAACATGGCTAAGAGCTCAAAAAAAGTTTTTTATTAATTTGAAGCTGTTTCTTGTTGCCTAGAAAATACAAAGTTTTAGAAAACAAGCTTCCAATTTGCAGAACTTAAAAAGATAACAATTTTAGAAGAAAACGTCACTTCTAAGAGGAAGATTAGGCTCAAATTATTCTGTCTTGTATATTGAAAAATGCCATCTAAGAGTCATATATTAACAATTTGCACATTCAGGCCCCAAATGGAGGAGTTTGATTTCTTATACAATGAATATGAAATAAAAAAAAATCCTAAATCCAGCCCAAATCCCCCAGGACCTGATTAAAAACTGTTTTTCATTCATTTTAGGGAGGGGAACAACACACAACCAATTTACTCTTGCCATAAAAACAATCTAATCCCATGAAATTGTAATAAGCTTTTAAAGTTTTACATTTTAAACTTTTCATTTAAGCAAGGCTGTTCCCACCTAATTATGTAGATTTTGTTTGGGAGACTGGGAGCCGAAAGAGAAAAAATAATCTTGCTTAAATTTTCACTCTCTATTGATGAGGTCTGGGGTATATTTTTCTTTGAACAAAGCTAGTTGTGGTTTGCACTTTGGGCCATGTCTGAGTCATTGTAGGTGCCCTGTGGTCTGCAGTTACATTTTGTGCCGTTTGATATCACCTCCTGCCAAATTGGTGTGCATGCCACTAATTGCCTTCGTCTCATAATTAAAGATGCGCACTTTTGAAAAGAAGCACTAATGAGTTTGCTTTTGGTATAGACTTTTGGGACAGTGCACGGATCTCTTGGAACACTGTGATTTCAAATCGAGGTCTCGGGCTGGGCTCAGCTGAGGAGTATTTCAGGACAAGGCTCTTGCTCAGCCCCTGGTGAATAAATAGAACAATAAATACTTGTTGCACTGGAAGCATGGCTCACTGTCCAGCTCCGGGTTCAACAAATTAGCCGACTCAGGGCTCCTGACCCAAGACCTGGCTGGCTGCACATGGAGGGTGAATGGATGGATGAATTTCTTTTGGAGCTGTCCAATGCTGCCTTCAGAATTTCCAGAGTATTCTGGCTGTGTGTATCCTGTCTGTTACATTTGCTGTTTGACTTAGAAATTGGATTTCCTCCTGTTTTACTACAGAAAATGCAATTCAGGCCTTTGGCAATGGCTCCGATGTGACTGTGTGGCAGCCAGCCCTCCCAGTTCAGACCACCACTGCCTCTAGCAGCACTGCCTTCCGGCCCAAGACCAAGCCCCTGGGGCCAGCAGGGTCTGAGAACGAAATCCCCACCCACGTCTTACCGCCTTGCGCCAACTTACAGGTAAGGGCAGGCTTGAACTCCTTAGTGGAGCTCTGCAGAGAAACCCAGGCTCATTTATCTGAGCTGTATTTGGGCGAGGAAGGCAAATAGTGGAATGTAGCTCAGGTCTTAAATGATAAAACAAGAGTGGAAAGTGCCATGGAGGAGAGAGCGTTTTGTTGAGACATTGAACTCACCAGTTATCTGAGTTGGGTCGAACTTTTGTATTTACCCTGGTTGTGTTGCCCTGGTGGCAAGAAGGGACAGGGGAAATGATAGCCTTCTGTTTTGTGGAGTGGTAAATTTGGGCAATTTATGTGCTTTGCTAATTTTGTGACCTATAAAGTAGCATGTTGGAGAGGAAGAAGCTTCAGGGTTTGGCTCCATCGCCAACATTGAAACTGAGTGTGGGATATTTGACTCTGTCTAAAGAGATGCCAGAACCTGGATTATGGGTGATATCTTTACTCAAATGCAGAGTCTTCTATGAGCTTGTTCTTCAGAAAACCAGAGAAAAATGCACCTTCCCTGTATTGTGCTGCTATGCAAAATCCCCATGTGAGTAGACACAGTCATAGTGACCAGGATACTTGTTTGGGATGAATCCAGATCTCCAAGAACCACAGTGATGCACCAATATGGTGGTTTCCTGGCTTGATTCAAAGGAGGGTCTTTCATCAGCCCCATTATTGATCTTCTATAGTAATGAGAAGCCATCTGTTTTGTAAGACTTCTCATCATCCTGTGCTCAGGAGAGTATTCTCACAGGCTCTCCATCTTTGGGTATCCTCTTCCGATGCTTCTGTCATTTTGGTGACATGGAGAAAGTTGTAGGAGATTGGGTGATATGGTGACCCTATGGTTGAAAGTCCTGTTGTTTTGTTGAGGACACGCTCCAACATTGTTATCAATCCTACAGAGCTGGTGACTCACACGAGGGGCTGGGATCCAGGACTGTTGTGTGCTTTTCAGAGGTCATCTGAGGTATATGGGGTGAGAGTGGTGACCACATGGTCACTTGTGCTTTCTTTCCTGAAAGACTAGGTGTTGGGCCTAGTGTTATCCATACCCACTTGTCACGAGTGATATTTACCCACTCCTCCCTCTCCAACCCAACCAATGGTCAGCACCCCCACGATGTACCCCAGCAAACTCCTTTTTAGACCCACAATCCACATATTTTCCTAAAAAGATCCCAGCCTGGGAGATGTCTCCAAAGGACTGAGCACTTGGTGCCCTGAGCACAGAGCCTGGGGAGCCCCAGAGCACTGCTAGATGTGGCGCCAAAACAAAACATAAAATAGGACCAAGGGAATAGAATAGAAGTTAAGGTACCTAACTTGCATGCAGTTTGAGTTTAACCCCTCATAGAGTGACCCCAACACAGACCCAAGAGAAGCCCCTGTGCACTGCCCAGTGTGACCCCCCAAACCAAAATCTAAGAAAAGAACAAAGTCAGGCACCATTTTCTCTTCTCTTTTTATTTATTTATTTATTTTTGCTCTTTGGGTCACACCCAGCGATGCTAGGGTGTACTCTAGGCTGTGCACTCAGGAATTACTCCTGATGGTGCTCAGGGGACCATATGGGATGCTAGGAATTGAACCCAGGTCGGCCGCATGCAAGGCAAATGTCCTACCCACTGTACTGTCACTCTGGCCCCATATTTCCTCTTCTGACTCTTTTACTTCCCCCATATCCACTGGCTCCCTGCTCTGGAAGCTTCCATGCCATTCTAGTGACTGTGGTCTCTGTCTTCTACTCTCTACCTGCTCAGCCTTCCAGCACACTCTCAGACCTCAGGTACCTGCCCCATGACCCCCAAAGGAGCAGGCCAAGAGGGGATCCACATACACTCTCACCTTGGTTCTTGGTGCTTCTAGACTGTCCCCTAGATGTTCCCCATCTCTCTAACTTAGTGTGGGAAGGGAAGAACAGGGTGCTAGCCAGATATTCTGGCCCCAACAGCCCCATACTGCTTCTAGACCTGAGGAGGAGGAAGAAATGACTCCCCCAGAGTGTCCTCACCAGTTAGAGGCAGATACAGAGCCAGAATGAGCACCCCCGAGGTCAGGGCTGGGCTACTTCTTCATCCCCTGCCTTGGTGAGCATCTTGCTCCAGCCAGGGGATAATCTGCCCTTGTTGGGTCCCTTAGCCACTCAAGGGCTGGGTAGAGTGTGTTTCTATACAGGTATAAGTCAGGTTATCTTCTCTGTACCCCTACACAGCCCCCTCCTCCATCTCACGTGGCAGACGTCCTTTCCTTTCCCAATAAAACAACAGAGGCAGGGGAAGCCTCTCAACTTAACCTAGATCATACTGCAGTTTGCTGGGGCTGGGAGTTCCAACTTCAAGGCTAATGAAACTTGACTTTGTCTTGTGACCTTGGACAATCTGGGCTTCCCTCCGCCCCCACTTTCTTCACATTTGAATTGGGCTGAGAAGCAGAAGTAAGAATTAGAAGATCAAAGACCAGAGTGATAGTCCAGGGAATAAGATACTTGTCTTCCATGCAGTGGATTCCATTAGAACCCCCGACACTTGTACATTATTCCTTGAGCACCATCAGAAATGACCCCTAGGCCCAGCAGTAAACCTTGAGCTCTGATAGGTGTGGACCAAAGCCCTGTATCAACAAAAATAACATTATACAAAGTGATGAATACCATGTGAACTACTGGTGGTGGTAAGTCATTTACAAGACGTGCCTATGTTAAAACCTGTTGTATGCCTTAGATTTTGTCAGACATCCCAAAAAGCAGCCGTGCAACACATTATAAGTCACTTCCTACCCATTTTCCATGGTTTCTATGCCATACCTGATGTGGTTCAGACAGTGGGCAACACATCATTGAGAGAAATATATAAATATATGCCTCTCAGAGAGCCCGGCAAGCTACCGAGAGTATCCTGCCCACACAAGCAGAGCCTGGCAAGCTCCCTGTGGCATATTCGATATGCCAAATATAATAACGACAACAGGTCTCATTCCCCTGACCCTGAAAGAGCCTCCAATCGTTGGGAAAAGATGAGTAAGAAGAGGATGCTAAAATCTCAAGGCTGGGAGGAATAGAGATGTTACTGGTGCCCTCTCGAGTAAATTGATGTTCAGTGGGAACACAGTGATACAGTGATACCACAAAGCTGGTGTGAGGCAGAGGGAGAAAAGATAATATGAGAGAAAGGAATGAGAGAAGGTGATGAGAATGATGGGGAAGACATCATGCTTATCCTTTTGACTAGCCTGTGCTCCAATTGGCCAGTTGTTGGACAGTAAGGGTTTGGCAGTTTGGTGCTCATTTTGGGGTGATCTATATTAAGAACAGTTGAAAGAATCACACCAGAAGATCAGGAATGGGGGCTGGAGGCTGAGTAGTGATGTAGTGAGCAGGTTTGCCTGCTAAGTGACCCTTGCCCTGTATACTGATTTAGAACCCTTGCTCTTACATCAGGCTGCCCATCTGTCTTTCCTTTGCCTGCCTTGCTGTCTCCAAATACATTACCATTTGCCAGGGCCCCCCACAAATATCTGAGAATGGCATCTGTCCCAGCACCTATGTCATGATTCAGAATAGCACTGACTTAAACCAGCTTGGGATCCATTTGGTAACTGATTTGGAGAAAGTCAACTATCTTTGGCAGCTCTAAAGTTCACTTCCCTGGAGAAGCAACCTCTCGTAATATTTTAAAATATACAATAAAATGAGAAAACTCTTGGGGACTTGAGTTTCTGTCTTAACATTTGAGATAGATTTCCCCCTTGGATGGGAAGAAATAAGAATAAATATTTTCACAAGTCAGTTTCCCAGTGTAATTATCAACAAACCAAACACAACCCAGTTTGGGGAGATGGCTGGTCCATGGCACACCCAGGCCTCATCTGTGGCGCCTCTGAATGGCTTGGCTTTAAAAGGGGAGAGTGAATTGAATGGTAGAAAATGTCAATGAGTTGTCCAAGCATTCACCCCCACCCCCGAGCTGATAAAATACCACGTTTAGGGGGAACCCTGCCAAACTTCCATGTCAGGACTCATTGGCAGTCATGTCAGGGCTGAGAGTGGTCAAAATGTGCTGTTATTGTTGGCAGTTCTCTCTGACTTGTGCAAAGTGGTCACAGAAGAACCAAGACACATTAGTAATTCTACCAACCATTTCATTTTCTGTGCCTTTGGGAGATCTGGTCATTGGGAAAGCTCAGGATATTTAAACCAAATGAGGATTTTTCTTGGTGCTTATTTAAAGTAAATATCTTTGGAAGAGATAAGTATTGGGAAAAGCTCTCTTTTGCATCGTTGTACACCCATTTAACTCTTGTGGCTTAAAGGGATGACTTCTTCAAATGGCCTTTGAGACTCTTTCATTTCCATGATCAAATAAGGTAACAGACACTGGGGGAAAGAGTCTTGGGGTTATAACTGAGGTCTGAAAAAAGTGTTCATGCTTCTGTCCCTTTTCCCTCCCTTCCATACTGTACTTTGGGAGGGGTGTGAATTGGGTCACACTAAATGATGCTCAGGATGTGCTCCTGTCTCTGTGCTCAGGGATCACTCCTGGCAGTGATCAGGGAACCATATGTGGCACCAGAAGTCAAACCAGGGTTAGCCGGATGTGACGCTAGCAGCCCCCGGTACCTTATCCCCTGAACTCTTCAGTCCCTCCACTCCGTTTTCTTGAAAGTGATGTGATGGGTCATCAGCAGGCAGATGCTCAAAACCAGCCAGGAAGAGGAAATCCCTGAGCCACTGGGCAGTGCCCTGCTGAATTCAGCAATAGCATGCAAAGTTGGGGCTTCGGTTTGTCTGCAGTTGTCTCAATGAAACCCAGCTGTGAGTGGGACGCAGAGGGCTGGCAGTTCTTGCCCTTGAGTTTTTATCTCTCTCATCTTCCTAATGGGGCTTATATTCTGCATCCTAGAAGGAACCAGCAGGCCTGCTTTCTCGGTCAGTCTGAGAGCAGGGTGGGAATGGTCCAAATGAGGGGTGAGTGCGGGGAGGACTTTGGGAGGTCCCCACTGCTTAGA